AGGATAAACAGGCCCGGCGATCGTGAATGGAATCCTCCTAACTGCTCGTGCTGAAGACGGGTTCCTTGTCCGCACGGAGAGAAGCTGTGTACGAGCTGGCGTGCCCGTTTGCAACAAGGCGATGTGGATTTTCCAGCCCGTTGCAGGGTGCTTCTAAGTACTGGCCCTGTCTCAGGCATCACACATCTGGCCACGTTGACCTGCAGCCTTGACAGCTTGCATGGAACAGATAGCCAGCCCACCTGCTCAGACGGCCACGGGGTAAAGCACACCCCAGGTGGGATGCATCCACGTATGTGTGTGTGTGGATGTCACAGGACTGGGGGGATATCGCGGCACAAACCAAACCCCCTGTTCCCGGCCGGGAAGCGTGCACGCAGGCCCTTCTTCTGAGGGCACGTCTGAGGTCCTGCAGCAAGGAGGTGAATCGTAGGTACCTTGTAGTCTGTGTGCACCACCCTGTTGCACACGCTGACGGGAAACGGGCCAACGTGGAGCTCTAGGTTCCTTTGCTTCTGCAAAACCTGAGGCGGGATGATCTCGGGCTAGTTGCAGCCGCCTGCCCCAGGTGCAGATACTGTGCACCTTGTTTCCAGATTTGGGTACCTGCCAAAAACGCCTTGCTTCTTCGGGGTCGCGATGAATGGGCTCCTTCTGTCTCTCCTTCCTGCTTACATGAGATCTGGCTCTTGGAGACGGACGTTCCTCAAGGCCCGTGAGGCCGTACCGAGCAAGGCTTAGGGAGGCTGGTTGCGGAATTATGGATGATGCCTTGACGCATGCAACTTTCTTTGCTGGCCATTTTCCACAAAAGTGTACTTTTTTCAAAGACAGCCAGATTTTAAAGGGAGAGAGGCCAGCTGGGGTGATACTTATGAGCTCTAGCAAAAAATAAAATAAAAATTAGTCTCTGCCATTAGAAGATATTTTTTTTTTCTCTATTCAGGGGACCAGTTGATAATTTTTTTTTTTCTCTTCAGGGGGACCAGCTTTGTCTGCGGGAGGCTCCTTTAGGGAGGCTCCTTTAGGGGATGGAGATGGATTTCTTTGGAATGCAGGCCTACGTGTACAGGAAAGAACGTGCTTTGTTGAAACAATGTAGACTTACAGGGAGGGAGGGAGTCACTGATCAGAAAGAGGACACACTCCCCAAGCCTCGACTCTGTATGCAGAAGGAAACGGATACAGATCTAGTTCCTACTGTGCAGTCACCAGAATTGCCTGAGCCCCTTCCTCCGTATCTTCTGCCCACTTCCCGGCCCAGAAGCACCACGCCCCTGGCATCAGCAAGCCAAATCTCTACCTGCAATGCTTCCCCTGATTTTGCAAAAGGACGTTTTTGCAGATACAGCTACTTGACTGTGGAAATAGTAGCATAAATATATGTAACCTTATGCATCTAGGGACAAATGAAGAGCAGGATACAACGTATCCATCCTTACAACCTTCGGTAGAAACAAATAGTACAATAAAAAGTATCGGATCTATAGGCAGAGATAGGAATAAATGCTAAAATTAAATATATGTCATTCTGTGCAGTTAGGTAGAAAATGAAGACCAGAACGGAAGGCGTCTTAGTCTTATGCATCGAGGTAGAAATAGATTAAAAATATTTCATCCTATGCACTTAGGTAGAAACACATATCTATGTAATCTTATATATGTATTTGCCTAATAAATACTGCAAGTGGGCCAACTCAGATTTCCCTTTCTTGCACCAAGGGGTCTTTTCTACACATGCATTATGAACAATCAGACACATGGAGCTTTGACATCAAGTCTCACAGCTTCCTTATCCCCACCATCAGGCTTACTAAGAAAATAGGCTTCTTGACTCTTCGTCAAGAGTCATTTCCAGTCTGCCCGTTTTGGGGCGTCCTGCATAAATATCCCTCCCCCAGGTGGTTGGGGAAACCGCATTTGAGATGCCGTGAAGGGGTACGAGGGTCTGCATGGGGAAGGCAAGACTTTTGGTTTGCACATTCCCTCCTCAAGCTTGCGGGGTCCAGCCTGCTGCTATCCATGGCACGTGTTTCCAGCTTTAAAGACGTGGGATCCTTGTCACAGGAGCTCAGAGGAGGTGAGAACACGGGGAGCTACTGCTCACACGGGGAGCTACTGCTCATCCGGGAAGGTGAGGGGGCCCATCTGGGGAGGTGGGGGGTTCCTGGGTGCACGGACGTGCCTGGGCAGGGAAATCCAGGTGCATTGCAGAGGTGTCTAACCTTTCACAGGCAAACTTCATCCACAAGGGTCCCTGTGCCCCTATGCACAAAGCAGGAGTACAGGACTCAGGAAGATGCAGCCCCTTGCCCTAGCAGGAACTTGGATCTGAAAGCAAAGACAGCTCTAGGCTTTGCAAGGAGGAAGACAGTGCACAGCCTTCTCGTCTCCCAGGAACTTCCAAAGAAGTAGCTTCTAACCATCTGGAGCGTGCACGCAGGGGACCGCAAGCTGTCTTGATACGCTCAGAATCCGGCAATGCAGGAAGCAAGCACGGCTCACAGTTGGGGGCAGAGAAGACTCGCCCTGCCCATGTGGCGGCCAGCCCCGGGGGCCAGGGGCCTAAGAAAACAATGACTGTTCTCGCAGGCACCCTTGGGGTCAGGGGTCCAAGAGGAGGGCTGGTGCAGAGCCCCACATCTGGGACCAGGATGGAGAGACAACTCCTCCCCTCCCAGGGGTGAGGGCTGGGGGTGGGGAGAGGGGTCAGGAAACAGGAGAATAAATTAGAAAGAGGTGAGGAGGCGGGGCCCGGTTCAGGAATGCCCAGCGCAGTCCCCACCTGATGGAGACTCACGTGCCCAGCTGTGGTCCCCAGATCCTGGGTGGTGGGGGTGGGAATCGGGGTCTCACGAAGGTACGGTGTCACACGGGCCGTGTTCAAATTCCACCTGGCACCAACGAGCCTATGTTGGGATATTGGATGTTCTCCGCTCCCTTCCCCCTGTGCCATGCACTGGGACATAGGACGTCCCCCAGATGTGGAGCCTGCCAGTGCTGGGACACGCTTGCTCAGTTTCACAGGGACACATCTGTCCCTGGGGTGGGCGAGCACATCCGTGAGGATGACAATGTCCAGAATGAGCTGTTGCCGCCATCTTTCAAAAGCTGGGGGTTGCAGGTAGAATTGAACAATCGATATTCATGTGTATATAATGATAATATAGTTATTAGTCGATGCCTAACATGCATTATGGTATTGATAGTGAAGGAGTCCGGAATGAGCCACTGTGGCGTAAAAATTATTTTGAGCTGAAAGCATCTGAGTTTCTGAAATTCCTCACCTACCTGAAAGCAGGGCTCCCCCAGCAATGCAAGTGCCATAAACCCACTCCCTGGAGAAGCTCTAATCTCTTCTGGGAGATGAGGTGTCAACACCACATGCAGATGACACTGTTATACAAATATTATATCTCCTATTATCCGAAGACCCATTCATCTTTCAAAGTAGCTGTTTGCCCTTTTCTCTCCCCCTTTTGGTCATTTGTTCTCCTAGATGCCAGAGGAAAAGTTTCTCCTACCTGGCAATATTACTAGAGGGAAGGATAATCTGGTTTTTGTCAGTTTAATTTACATGCCCCAAGGACAGAACCTAAGAGGGTAGAGGAGAAGTTTTTCCTACCTGGCAATATTACTAGAGGGAGAGACAATCTGGCTTTTGTCAGTTTAATTTGCATGCCCCAAGGACAAAACCTAAGAGGGTAGAGGAAAAGTTTTTCCTACCTGGCAATATTAATGGAAGGAAAGATAATAGAGTAGCTTCATCCAACCTTGCCACCCCCTGTTCACCTTTGCTTTTGTTTTTTCCCCTCTTCCTCCCCAAATGTCTGCCCCCCCAGACCAATGAAAGCCAAGGTTTGAGCCTGGGGTAGGGGCCACAGTGACTGGGTCCCCCACCCCTTGCATACATGGAGGAAGGGGACCCTGGGATGCTGGTGCCAGGCCACCGTGCAGGAGGGGCGTCCCAGAAGTGAGAAGCCGGGTGGTCCCATTGGGATCATTGGAAAGCCAAGCTCACCTCCTCCCAAATCCTTGGCATTTCTCACCTAAGGGATGTGTGAGTGTGCGGATGCCTGCAAGTTTGCACTGGCGGCGTCAGAGAGTATGGGTATCCATAAGTCGGTGAAATCTGATGGCCTGCCTGGAGGAAGGCGGTGTGGACACTGGGGGGCACAGGGAATGAACATGGATGGATCTTGGCCATCATCCTGAACACTGGCACCCGGGGCTGCTCCTGGGCAGGTGCAGACCTCATGCCCAGAGGAGGCCGTCCCCGTGATGGGAGCGTGCAGCCCACATTGACCACCACGGACTGTGGCATTGACAGGAAGGCCCCAGAGCAGGAGACGTGAGCACAAACTATCACTCGGCACTCCCCTCCCATCACCGGGGAGCGCAGGCAAATCCCTAAATCTTAACGGCATACCCACCACATGACTTTGGCCATTGGTTGGGTGTTTCTGTCGCTCGGCTTCGGGACGGAGAAAACCCTTCCCTGCCAGGATGAGCTATCGGTCTGCATGAACCAATCAATTTCCCCTGAGGTGTGTACTTCAGGTCTGTGTGAGTCAGGCTAACGTGAGTTGAGCCTTCAGGGATTGCTTGGCTTTGGCAATTGGGGTGAAATCAGACTTCTGAGTCTGTAAGGTTAGAGGGGGCAGTCCCACTATGGGGGGTGAATCCGGATTCAGAAACCCACCCTTCAGTTCAGTATTACAACTGGTAATTAGCATCACAAGAGCAGAAATAGACAAAATAACTGAGTAACTGGTCTGAATCATTTTTAGGGAAAATGTCAGTATGAGGATGTGCTCTTCTGAGCCTGGCTTGTGTCACGTCCCATCGTGGTGCACACGGTTGAAAACCTTCAAAGACTCGGGGGAAAAAAATACCTTTGATAGCTGTTTCTTGAACTTTTTTTTTTTTTTTTGCCTTTTCCTTCCTACTTAATTGAGATACGATCAACAAGTGACTCTGTGTGAGTTTAAGATATATAAAGTGATAAGCTGATGCATTTGTATGGTGCAAAATGCAGACCATGGTGAGGTTGCCCAACACATTCATCACCTCCCATAATTACCTGCTTCTTTTTTTAAATTTTGTGCTGAGAATGTTTCAGATCTAGTGTCTTGGCAACTTTGAGGCTCACAACCCAGCTTTGCTGACTATGGTCCCCATGCCTGGACTCGTTCATCCTATCACGGGAAGCACATGGCTCTGACCCACATCTCCGCATTTCTGCATCTCCAGCACCTAGAGACCACGTGTCCACTCTCTGCTTCTGTGAGTTTGACTATTTTGGATTCCACGTAAAAGTGAGCTCCCGCAGAATTGGACTTATTTCACTCAGCATAATCCCCTCCAGTTCCATCCATGTTGATGCAAATGGTGGGTATTCATCCTTTCTGACGGCTGAGTAATCTTCCACTGTATGTATACCACCTCTTCTTTATCCATTCATCTGTCGAGGGACATCTTGGCTCTTTCCACAGTTTGGCTATTGTGGACATTGCTGCTATAAACATTGGGGTGCACGTACCCCTTTGGGTCCCTACATTTGTATCTTTGGGGTAAATACCCAGTAGTGCAATTGCTGGATCATAGGGTAGCTCTATTTTCAACTGTTTGAGGAACCTCCATACTGTTTGCCAGGGTGGCTGCACCAGCTTGCAGTCCCACCAACAGTGTAGGAGGGTTCCCCTTTCTCCACATCCCCGCCAACATCTGTCATTTCCTGACTTGTTAATTTTAGCCATTCTGACTGGTGTGAGGTGGTATCTCATTGAGGTTTGGATTGGGATTTCCCTGAAGCCAAATGACATGGAGCATCTTTTCACGTGTCTGTTACTGATTTGTATGGGTTTTTTTGGGGGGAAAAAGTCTATTCATGTCTTCTGCCCATTTTTCAATGGGCTTATTTGTATTTTTAGTGTTCAGTTGTATAACTTCTTTATGTATTTTGGCTACTAATCCTGGATCAGATATATGGTTTGCAAATATTTTCCCCTTTCTGTAAATAAACTTTTTTATTATTATTATCCCTCCTCAAGGAGGCTTTTTTGACATTTTTCCTAATCCCCCCCACCCTATGTATAATATATGTTTATATAATATATATAGAACTGTGGCATATAGTTAAAAAGGGTAAAATGCTTTCTTTTCTCAGTGATTTCCCCCTTTGAGGGCTGAAAGGCATTACACACACACACACACACACACACACACTCATATGACAAAATGCACACCAATTTGTAAATTTGAGTACTGTGTGTGAGTTCTTATATTATTCTTGCAACTTTTCTGAAAGTTAGACATTATCTCAAAAGGTACTTTTTAAGCACACCGCCTGCATTATCTTTCAGACCTTGTCTCTAACTGTTATTGGAAGAATTACCTTTTTTTTATTTGGGCGACAATTTCACATAGTTTTAGTGCAACTGTCTTATGTATATATATATGGGATAAAAATATATATATATTTTAATGTTATCTGATCATTTTGTTATGGGCAGAATTATCTTTTATTTTTTTATTTGGGGGACAATTGGCATAATTTTAGCGCAACAGTCCCATATATCTTTTTAATGTTATCCGATCACTTTGTTATTGGCCGAATTAGCTTTTATTGTATTTGGGGGATGATTTGGCATGGTTTTAGCATAACTGTGCCATATGTATTTCTTAACGCTATCTGATCATTTCGTTATGGGAAGACTTGTGTTTCTTGATTTGGGGGATGGTTCACCATAGTTTTGGTACACCTCTCATGTACCCTGGAGAGAAACGAGCTTATGTGGTTTGGGATCCTATGTCCCCTCTGCTCCCCTCCAGGCTTCGGGCTGGCGCTCACTGAAGCCCCGCCAGGCAGGCAGGCAGGTCGCCCCTTCCCCTCCTCCAGCGCCAAGGGTCGCGTGACCCTGCTTTCCTGCAGACGAAAGAAAACAGCATTCCACAGAAAGGTTTGTGCTGGTGGCTTTTCAAAAGAAACCCCCAAATACGTTTCCCCGGACCCACGCAGAATTCACACATTTTGCACCCTACGGCTGGCTTCCCTCTTGTCCTCCTTCCTGTGTCTTTGTGCCTCGTGGGGACCCGGAGCTGGTGTTAAGATTATTTTGAGCTGAAGGCATTCGAGTGTCGACCAGAGGCAGAAAGAAGCCTTCTCCAGGCGCTTCCCTCATCCGGCACAAACCCGCAACTCCCGGGAAGCAGAGCTCCATAAGTTCCTCTTCTGGCCCGCTCTCTGCCCCAGAAGGCAGAAAGCAGTAAAACCCACCCAAACCCTCTGTCCAGAGCAGTTTATGGCCCTGCAGGAGATGCAGAGACCACTCATATCTGTCTGGACCAACATCACTGCAACCTTTCTTACCTGCTGTTTGTTTTGAGAAAACCCATCGATGGTCCCACAAAGTCATCTGTGCTCTTGTAAGGTAAGGGCTTTTTCTCCCCACCCCCACACTGCCCCCGCCTTTTAGGAGGGTAGAGATGCCCCTGATTCTAAGCATCCCTTCAGCTACTCCTCACGGGGACCCCAACACCCCACCCCCAAAATGTGGACTATTTTAAACTAAAGGTCACTGAGAACCAGCAGAAGCAGGAGACGCTCTAGGAACGGGACGCCCATTTCTGTAAAGAAAATTCACATTCATAAGTGAAATATCCCCTTGTAGAGATGTCTCCCTGTCCCAGAGCTGGAAGAGGACCCCCTTGTAACAACTCTTATCAATGGAGGACGTCTTGACTTACATCCGCATAACAAACACCACGGAACACCCCGTTCACCATACTATCCTGGTCACTTTCCCATAACTTGCTTCCATAGTGCAGGAACCCAAAATCCCTTTGCCTTTGTTTAGCCTGAAAAAGTATATAAGCCCCTTCTAACCAACCCTCAGTGTTACTCATCTCTGGGTACTCTCATGTGTAAGTGTGATGCAATGTTAATAAACTACTGCTTGTGTTTCTCTTGTTGATCTCTCTGGAGCCAATGTCATTTTCAGGACCCTACTCAGAGAAGCCAAGATGGGAAGAGATTTTTTTTTTCCACTCCCTATATTCATCACTGAACTCTCCTGTGTGTATGCACACCAAATGCATAAATAAAATCTTTTTATTTTTCCTCTTGGAAATGCATGTTCTCGGTTTAATTGACAGCCCCCAGGCACAGAACCTAAAAGTGTGTGGGACATGTTTTTCCTATGGTGCAGTTCAAACCTCGCTATAGCACTATCATTGCATGTAGAGAGTCCTCTTGAGAACCACTTGGAACATCGAATGCTCCTGGAGACTAGATTTTGGAGCATTGTCCCAAACACTTCCTCTGCTCCATGCACCCACCTGTCTTGGGGTGTGACTAACATCTTAAGAATGTCCCTGAGGCAGAAGGATGGTTTGTGATGGGGCTTTATTGGAATCAGAGCCGCTCATGAAAGTCTATGAACATTAGCAGTGGGGAGCCTGCTTAGGTGTGGGCAGCGGTGTGGCTTACATGGCCCATCTTTGTCACTTCTTCCCTCACCACAGACCAGTGGCTGCCAAGCCTGGGTACGGCTCTGCGTATTGACCTGAAAGGTTTCTCCATATGGCTTGGGGTGGTGCTGGCTTCACACCGTCGTAAGGTGTGGGTGCTCTTCTTCTATTTCCCTTTGAAAATCAGGGTCCCACCTCAAAGGGGCAGACTGGGTCGGGGCTCAGACAGGGGCTCTTGTTTCCCTGCACGTGAGGGATAAGAGATGGGGGGGACCCTGGGGACACCATTGTCATTTAGAGCATGCTGCACAGCTGCTGACTTGATTTCCTGGGGCAATCATAACAAAGGACCTTAAATTGGGGGACTTGGGGCAACATTCTCCCCCAGCTCCGGAGACCAGACCCCTGAGATCCAGGCGGGGCAGGACCACTGAGATCCAGGTGGGGCAGGGCCCCTGAGATAAGTGTGTCTGTTATTTTTTTTTTTTTTTTAATTTCAGACTTTCTTCAATTTATGTTGCCAAATCGCTTCCTGGAATTTGGGTGTGATTTACCCCCCTGCGTCCCAGCTCTCCTCGTGGGACAGCTCTCACTGCAGCTGTGGGCTCTCTGTATTTTTGCATAATTGTGTTTTGCATAATTGAGAATGCGTCAAAAGTCCATTGTGGCGGGGGGGTGGGGAGAGATGCTACCTGACAGACCGTTCTGCCCGAGGAATCAGGCATTTAGGAAAAGTCCATTTTCACTTTACCCCACACCCAGGAAGGAAATCACAGATACATCCAAGATGTAAATGCTTGATTGAAGCAAACCTACGTAAGTAACTGCGAGAAAGCAGGGAATGTTTCGGAAAGCTCTAGACGAGCTCGTTCTTTCTAGATCTGCGCCCCGTGGAAGAGAAAACCAAGCTGGAAGACTGAGCCCCACGTGTGTGCGTTGACACCGAGTATTCCTGCAAGGCCAAGGATTGGCGTAAATACGGTTACTTCGCCCAAATCGGATAATCATATTAATATAAATGTCATTTCAAACATCTGCACAACCCATATATTAAACAAATACATATATGTAGATATATATACATATTTGTCTATAGCTAATAAATATTTGAAAAATAGATATGAACCGCCTCGCAAACGTAATATACACTACTTATCGAGGCGACTGTATTGATTGATTGATTGATTGATTGATTGATATAAGCTCTACACCCAGCATGGGGCTCAAACTCACGACCCCGAGATCAAGAATCAAGCGCTCCCCCCATAGAGCCAGCCCGGCACCCCTCGAAGCTACTGTTGATCAAAGACACTTTGCAAACCATTGTACGGTCCAACAGTTACAGGATGGGGTGGTAAAAAATCCCCAAGTATGTTCCAAGGAAAAGGGGGTTTCCTTCATTTTCATAGCTGTCACAGAAAACAGGATCTTGGGGGTAAAATAAAGCTGAACCAGCTCTGAAACACGGGAGGTCTTCAGAGGCTGGTTTGTACTTTGTCGGGAAGAGGACTAAGGTGCATAATGTCGATAAGAACTGTTGGATCTGGCTTCTGGATGCGCCCCGCACCGGGGAAGCTCTGAGCCTCCTCCATAAAAACACAGCGATCAATCCAGGGGACATCTGTAGAGTGGGCATCCCCCTTTGCCCCTGTCAGGGAGCTCCTGCCTCCACAGAGCACCCTCTGGGATGCAGGGCTGGCCATGTGACCCATGCCGGCCAATCAGAGCGGCCCAGGCCCTGCAGCACAAGTGGGTCCAGGAGCAGGGCTCCTCGGGGACAATTGGTAGCTGGATGCTGGGACATCCTCTCTGTCCTGGTAACACAGGCAGTGAGGGCCAGGGAGAAGGTTCACAAAGGGCATGTCGATCCTTTGCTGAGAAAATATATGTTTTGCAGAAGGACAGAAAAGGGAATCTACAAAAAACAGGAAGGTCAGCTGTGTATAGATGCAGAGGCTGATGGATGCCCTGAATGAGTGCAAAGTCAAAGCCAAACGGAGTCTCTCAGGGACATGAAGAGATGATGCATGAACTCAGATAAAAGAAAAAAGGGACCCAGAGATTTTTGAAGAAGAAAAAGAAAAAAGGGATGCAAAGATTTTTGAAGAAGAAAAAGAAAAAGAGAAAAAGGGGATGGCATTTGCCCTACCGAATATCAATATATAAAGCTCAAGTGAGGGGCACGTGGCTGGCTCAGTCCAAGGAGAGTGCAACTCTTGATCTCAGGGTTGTGAGTTTGAGCCACACACTGGGCGTAGAGATTACTAAAAAAAAAAAAAAAGAAAGTAAATTGACTTTAAAAAAAAAGAGTGACTTTAAGCATGGAGGGTTGGGGGCAAGAATCGACCAAAGACACCCATGTCTGTACATAAATGGGGACTCTGTTCATGGCAGAAATGGCATCGCCACACATCGGGGTGGGGGGGAAGGATGGATACTTCGGTAGATGGTGGACAATCAGCTATCCATTAAGAAAAAATACAAATTAGGCTAAATCTTCGTGATGGGCATGATTCTGGCCCCTAGGACCATCTCGCGCGGCACCACACCCATATATATGTCATGATGTTCATCAAGCAAATTGAGGGTATAATTAAGGCACCTACTTACCTGCATGCAAGATCTGGAGATGAATTTACCCAGCGTAATCCATCACACGAGCCCTTCCACGCGCGGGGGGAGAAAGGGGAGACAGAGAGAGACAGCCAAAGCATGAGAAGGGGGTGAATTCTGCGAGCATCCCGAATGAGCTCGGGAGTGGATTCTGGGAAGACACATAGCCCCGCGGACACCTTAATTCCGGGTTTTCAGCTCACAGCCTGAAAACCCAGCTCGGCAGTGTGCAACCTGTGCCCAGAAACGGGAACAACAAAACGGAAGTCATGTGGGGCTGCTAAGTTTGTGCTCCTTTGTTACACGGCATAGCTAACTAAGGCAATCTCTAACCCACCATTTAGAGACACAACGGTCGAGGTAGATTAAGCACATCCTGACAAATGAGGAATCATTGTAACTTCCAGCAAGGGGGTGTGGGGAGAGAATAGGAAGGTGTCTTTATGGTTTATGGGATAGGGAACGTTTGCTTCAACAAGGCACAAGAAGTGCATTCTGCAAAGGGAAGGAATCCACGTTGGAATCATTGTCTCCCCAGATTTGGGGACTTGAGATCCTCAAGAACCCTCTGGAGAAGGTGAGTGAGTTCATAAAGAATATTCTCTTAGACGTGAATGGGGGAGGGAGGGAGGTCAGTGTAGGTAGTCGGTCAATGCCGTTCGGGTTTTATGTTTGAAGGAATCCAGAGAGGTGTGCGGCGGACCAGAATTCCTCAGCCGCGGGTGATCACGTGGCCGTCCCCGCAGGAGACATGCAATCTTCCGCGGCTCTGTTTATGACCCTTTCCCGCCAAAGGGTTTCCGATGCAAAGGCGTGCACGCAAACGATGCCGACCTTAAAAAGTCCTCAACGTTTGCTAAGACGCGTTTCCCAAATCCCCTATTTCCCGCGTGGCAGGCGGTGACCACCCAGATGTGAACTCCGGGCGGGTAGCCAAAGGAAAGTTGAAAATTCCCCCTTTAGGGCCTCCTGGATCTGCCAGCCATGGTGTGCCAGACACCGAGCGGAGAAAAACAGTTTACGAGAGTTTGCGCGCAACGGTCTGGGGTTTTTAGAACGTGAACGTGAAAGCGCGCTTGTTGAACTGGATTTTGGTTCTAAGAACTTCGTCAAGAAAGTGATTTTGACTAAACACTTGGAGGGTCTCAGGCCATGAGGCTCAGCACCTCTTAAATTCATGTTTTCTTCGTAGGCGTAGGGAGATACAATGCATAGCCTTTAAATATTCATCTTAGGGGATTTTTTTTTTTTAATTGAAGAAATGTGGGAATGTAGAAAGCAGCGAGATGCGAATGAAACATAGACATTTTTACGATGTCTTTTTCCAAAATAACCAGAGGCACCTCGCAATGCTTGGCAAATGTCTGGACTTTTTTTTTTTTTTTTTTTTTTCCTATTAGAATCCTAATTGCTTCTCCTGTGTAACGTAAGCGCCCATCGAAAGCATCTACCAGTCCTGGTCTCGAGGGTAATAGGATACACCGATCCCTGCTTCCAAGCGTGGACGGAGACTTTCATTAAAATGAGGGCCGGTTTGTCCAGAGGGATTTCTGAGCATACGTTTTTATGGCTGAATTCCGAACACACAGAAATGCTGAACAAGTATAATTCCGGCACGGCGTGCATATTCTGAAACTGCTTTCTGCGGATTCTGGGCTTAAGCTAATGAATGGGTTTAATGGGGGTAATGGGAGTCGTATTTCTCACGGCCGGAGAAAGATTTTCGCACATGGAAAGATGGAGGTGTTGGGCTGAGGTTGGGGTATTATCAGTGTGTGAGTCACCCTGGGGGCGACCGAAGCAAAGCAACATAAATCAGGTGGCCCAAAACCACAGAAATGTATCCGGCCACCCCCAGCTCTGGAGACCAGAGTCTGAGATCCAGGCGGGG